TTTAATGAGCAATTGCAAACATTACAATTAGTCTCGTAACCTCAAGTGTTTACACAACCAGCCTTTGTCCAAGAATCAAAAAAAAAATGCGCGTATACTTGGTTTGTATCATATTTAAGTCATCTGTGTCCAAAGAATAATAATCTTTTGAAGCAGCTGCTGCAAAACACAAAGCTTGTAAAGATTTATTAAGAAAGTAATTCAAAACCAGTTCTAGTTACAAGATTTAGTAACAGAGAAAAATTACTGGGAAGTTAACAAACGTCAATTTTTACACAAAAAACGTCCAAACGTCAACAGGATACAAAAAACGTTCAAATGACGTTAAAAACGGCAACCTGGCAACGCTGGTTCCACGTCCCCTTTTCCAACTCCGCCCATTTTTTCCAATGAGTATGGAATTAATTTCATTTATCACGACACCATGTTCCAGTACTCTACCGCCAATATTTTAAGACATATACAAAATTAAAATTTTAGTTAGTATGGGAGGTGCCACGCCCCCTTTTCCAGTACTGCCGATTTTTCTCTATGCTTATAACCTTCCCGGGATAAAAACAAATAAGTGTGAAAAGTTTCGTGCGATTCCGTGTCCGCGGTTCAAAAGTTATAAGGTAATAAACAAACAGACGTTCACATTTATATATATAGATGATTACAGCTGCATAAACGTTGTTGGTGTTATCCACGTCCTCTTTAAAGTTGATCGCATTCTCTAGTTTTTGTTGTATACGTAGGCTTTCTAATGCCATTCTCCTTTTTACCCCTCTTTCGATGTCCGAAGTCCGCAAAGTGTTTGTGTTTCGTCAAGTGTTATGCAGTGCTGTTGGCATCTTTTGGTTTCTCTCATCCGCTTTATGTTCGTTAATTCTTGTTTCCACTGTTCTTTTTGTTGTGCCTACGTAGCATTTGTTACAGCTTTCAGTATCGTTCTCCTTGCATTCTATTTGATACACATTTAGGGGATTCACAAGACGTGTTAACCGTCGTAAAATCTTAAGGTTAACATCTTTTTTAATTAAAATGGTTTTAGGGGATTTCTAACTAAACCGAAATTCTTTTAAACTGATAAAGAATATATAATTAGCCAACCCCCCAACCATTTTAACCGCTATTTTACATAAACAAGTGTTAAGCTTAAGATTTTACGACGGTTAACACGTCTTGTGAATCCCCTAATTATGTTGTTATTTCTTCGGAAATCTGTCTTTTGTTTTTTAGTACACTTTGCGTGTTGTGTTCTGCGGTCTGTGAGCTATATAATATCTTCATTCTTTATTGTTCTCCTGAGGTCCTGGTTATTTATTAGTCCTGGTACGTAAGTTACTCCAATGTACATTTTATTATTAGTTGTGTAGTTCGCCTGAAGCACGAACACTTGTGACGACTTCGGGAATACAAGAAATTTGGACATCGAAAGAGGGATAAAAAGGAGAATGACATTAGAAAGCCTACGTATACAAGAAAATCTAGCGAATGCGATCAACTTTAAAGAGGACGTGGATAAAACGAACAACGTAGAGTATAGGATTAGAATGCTATAATATGTATTGGGAATAGATACTTAAATGGCGCTAACGTTTATCGTTTGATAATTTTTGTTAATAATATTTATGTAAATGTGAGTTTAATGGCAGAACGTAAAGTAATGTCTTTAACTATGTTTATTGTTTTTGCATCAGCGAAGTTTACTTGCTAATCATGTTTCAGGTTTATTTGTTTTTATTTTTCGTATAAAGACTCCCTGATGAAGACGCGAGAGCGTTGAAACGCGTAGGAGGGTAAAAGGAAAATTTAATTTTTCGCTTTTTTAACTCTATCGGCCGAAGCAGTACCCAAACCAGCAAATTTAATGCCATAAAAATTAAAAAAATTAAATTAAATAAAATATCTTTTTAAACTAAAAGAAAAAAGAAAAAAAGTTCTGATGCCCGAGGACTTACACTCGGATTTCCCAAAAGCCAGTCTAGTGCTTTGCTCACTCTGCCATTGCGACTGCTGGGGCAGCGCGAGCAAAATGACATACATAAATGTTTTTTTTTCTTTCCTTTGCACCAGCCGATTTCGAATCAGCATTCGAATTCGAGTTCACTCGGATTCAGTGAAAGCAATTTTTTTCATATTCGTAGCAGGCATTCGAATTCGTAGATTTTCTACGATGGATTCAGTGATAACCCTGAGTAACAATAATGGATCTTTTTGCATTATTTTTAAGATTCAGCGATTTTGAATTTTATTCCGACAGCAAAAACTCGTCGTAGAGTATCTGTACGAATCTTCTTCATTACGAACAAATTCAATGAAGGCTCACTACGAGTTTCGAATTTACGTTCGTAGCTATTCGGATTCAGTGAAAACACTTTCGCAGATTTCACGAAAATCGAACCTACGATGGATTCAGTGATAGCCCTGTTTATGTATGCCTATTATGTATTATGTATTGCTTAAAATTGCAGACAGCGACTAACAAACAGCAGACGAAAAAACAATAGTAAATAAAAGCTTAGATAGACGGCAGGGTTGGTCCGGACCAACTCGTTAATTCAGAATTATCTCCGGAATTAATTGCAGTTGACGGATTAAATTGTACAACTAATTCCCAAATTAATGCGGATCAGGGGCATTTTCGATTGTAACACTGATCAAAGCGGTCATCTGCCGTCTATTGTGAATGAAAAATTAACGAAGAATCCACTACATTCCAACAAAAAATTATAATAACTAAATAATAAAGTAAATAGTAAAGACTTATCAATTGGACCTATTCC